AATTTTTTGAAACCCCCCCAAATTTTTTGGGGTCTCAAAAATTTTTTCCCAAAGGTTTTTTGAATTTTTACCTGGGTATTCTGAAATGGAAAAAAAGCAAACAAAAATTGAATCAAAATTGTACTGGACAGGGATGGTGAGAAAAAAATAAAACTATTATCTAATCGACTTTTATAATCATTTTGATGTTTGGTTTGTAGAACCTAAGTTTTAGTTCCACACATATTTGGCAGTAATGTCACAATTTTCTTAGTGCCTTGACAACATATGCCAATTTCTGAGTGTTGCAGCTTGGACCATGAGAGTGCTCTTGAAATGAATGCTACAGATTGTCTTAATGAGGTGGTTATGCCACAGTCTGATGCATCAGTCTCAACCACCAGTGCAAAGGGTCTACCACTGTGACAGTGGCTTTAGCAATATCTCTTTTTATATCCTCCTGTTGTCAGTTCACAGATTTTTAGGGGTGGTTTGGATCCACCAAATGGTATCTCGACATGAGAGTGCTGCTAAAGGAAGTCATGTCCTAGTATTGCATTACAAAAAAGGTTCTTCATTATTAAGAACTTATTCCCGTAGTATGAACCTCTTTAAATTTCACGTTCACTAGACAGCATCCAATAACCTGAGATGATAATGCAGTATTTGCTATGGCTACTCAGATGGAGCAAGAAAAAGTTCTCAACTTGTTTCACTTTGTAATACATGCATCAATTAAATTTTCATGCTAATACAAATCCTGTCATCTTTAGTTTTTATAGTTGTTTTTGAAAAGCAGCTAAATGATACTACTGGGAATACACAAAGAACAGACATTTTTTATTATTTCTATTTTTACTTACCATAACCCAATGACCTCTTTTTTTTTCTTTTTACATGAAGAATCGTCTTTCACTGGGCATGATAAACGGGGGTGTAATTTAACAAGTAGGAAAAATATCTATCTATGTCTTACTTGTGGTTCGAGAGAGTGCTGGATATGGTGGGGGGGCAGGAGTGAGAGGAGGTATTGAGATTGTCAAGGCAGAGAACGCGTTCCATCTTTAAGGAATGGAGGTAACTCAATAAATTGTAATGAATGACAAAGAGTTAGTGGTGCTTACCGAAGCTTTATTGAGCTACAACATGGTGCCTTTTATAGTTACAAGTGTGGAATAGTTATGATAGAGAGGGGAGGTAACTCAAACAGATTTTATCACTACACTCTGTATGAAGAATCCAAGACACAAGCACTAAGATACTCTTCCATTTTTTAGACAAAACTATTTGGGTGCCATGGATAAGTGTGCATGTTAATGGCAGAGCTAGGTAACAGTGCTTTCACTGCTCAACAATGCCTTGACTAAACAGCATGAGAGAGACTTAACAACATATGTTGCTCAACAATGGTCAAATCTTTATGAAGATTACAAGATACAAACACCAGGAATATATTTTTCCATTTTTTAGTCATGTAAATAATATTTTTTTTATTTGAATGGTGTGTAAGAAGAATATATCAAAAAACATATTTCTTGTTTTATAATTCAAGTTACTTTTCTCCAGGAAATGCCAAATATCCCTGCTTCAGTGCATCAATATATAAAGATGACAGGAAAAGAAACTGCCTGAAGCCCTAATACAAGACTGATCGCTCTTGCCTTAGATTTGATATTTTCTTTTCTATCAGTTCAATGAATGAGTACTACTTGTAAGTTCGACGTAGAATCAATTGATACTCTAATAATGTGAAGACCTTAGATTCTTTTATCCAAGATAAAAAAAGTGGAGGGGGGGGAGTAACTGGTTTTTGGAAATATTTTTTAAATAATTTAACACTTGATAATTTGTCACAGTAAGTAAATTTTAATTGCCTACACTGTTATAAAACTGTATCAGGCCTTAATTTCCGTTTGTTGACGAGGGGTACTGAAAAGTTCTAAGTCTCACTAAGAAGGATTTTATTTTTAGGTCAGATTTGCGGAAGTGGGTTTAAAATAAACTGAGATCTCATGGAATAACAGCTCTTTTCATTGGAAAACATTAATTAAACGTGTCAGTGTAATTAAGTTAAAATTAATAACAATATTCAGCTAGATTGAACATCGCCATTATGAACCTGAAGGATTACTGATTCTAGGATGTCAAGCAAGCTTGTTTAACGTAACAAATGGGTGGATGTTGATTGTTTCTTTTAACAATGCAGGCAGAGCTGTAATTAAATATTTTTCTCTTTTTATCTTGTTTCTCATAACGCACATACCAATTATTATTTATCCAGAAACTATAACAAAAATAAAATAAAATGATAAAACAAACTGCAAAATAATGTTTTTATTATTGTGATACTGTAAAGTGTGTACCAACGTATTTTGAGGAAAAAAAGAACTAATGCATAAATCATTAATTCATGGAGATAATAAAAAAGTTGGTAAGCTTAATATTAAGTTTACTTTTTTATATTAATTTTTTTTAAAGCTTATCTTCAAATTCTCTCCTTGTGATTACACGAATTTTTAGACTGCATCAAACCCCCAAAGTGTTTTTTTAAATATGTATTTCAATTTCATTATTGGCAAAATAAAAAAAAATGTCGAAATTGTGAAAATTGAAAAAAATTTAATAAAAAAACCTGTGCCACTTGTTCAGTATTTGAAAAAAAATAATTTGCGCTTGAACCATATATTTCCTTTTTTCCTATTTCCAAAAATACTTGACCTATTTTTTTAATATGCATTTTAACCTTTTTCAAAAAAGCATTTTTTTTTTGAGTGCAAAAACTAAAAGGAATTTGGTTGGGAATCCAGAAATGTTTTGAATTTTGATTGAATTCTAGTCAAGAGCAAAACCGTTTTTTAAAGAGTAAAGAAACTTACCTTCAGTTTAATTGGGCATTTTTAATTAGTTTTTTTTTTTTTTTAATTTGTTTGGAGTTGATGGAATTTTATGAATGAAACACTGAATCTTATCACCAATTTCGCTAAATAAATTTGTCTATTTCATGAAGTAATTTCTTTTTTTTAATTTCATCATTATTTTTAAATGTTTTTTTTTTCTTCTTTCATTTATTTTTTACGATTTCAGAGAAACTGGAAAATGATATCACGTTTCCGTTTAAAAATAAGAGAACTAAAACTAAAAAAAAGAAAAAATATTGAAAACCAAAAAGTTTTAAATACACATGACAAATTAAAGTTTTATTTCATTTACTTTTTAAGAGAATAAATAAATTGTGATCTCAATGTGCGCAAATTTTTTTAATTTAAATTCTCGAATATTTATTAATTTAAAAATCTTACTAAATCTTCTTAAGACTTGTATGTATGGTTTGTCATTCTGCGCATTTTTAACATTTATTGAAGAGACTTTTTTTATTTTATACAGATCACTAAACTGTTTTTTATTTCATTTTTGTCTTTTTCTTTCAAAATACGAAAGGTGCGAAAATAAGGAAATGTGTACTTTTTTTTTTTTGTATTTTTTATATATTTAAAAAAAAAACTGATCCCAAAGGATTTTAAAAGTTATTGAACCAGATAAAAATCACATTGTCTTCGTTTTACTTCATGCGAATATATTATTACGTCTCTAATTTTTTTTAGCTATCTTTATTTTTGGAGTTTTATTTATTTATTAGCTTAGAATCTCACAATAATAGCATGCAAACGTGAAACGTGAAGAAGCCAAAAATAAAATGCGATATTGTTGAATGTTGATTTAATAATTTAATAATACAATATTTCACTATTTCAGTTGAGATTTTTCTGGCTTAAAGTGTTCGATATAGTTATTGATTTAGTTTTTCCCCAATTATTGTTTTTTTATTATTAATTTTATTTTTATTTATATTTTTATTGAAAGTTAATTAAACAAAACAAAAAAATTAGTTTTAAGGCATTTTTAGGTTTAAAATAAATCATTTTAGGTTTATTCTCATAAACTTAAAAAATGATTTAATACCCGAGTAATATCAGTTACTTTAAAATTAACTAAAAAACGTTTTTTACAAAATGATGCATCGCGATACATGTGAAACCTGGAAATGTTTTGAATCAATAATCGAAAGAAAGAAGACATTAAGACATGAATGTAAAAAAAAAAAAAAGAAAAGGAAGAAGAAGAAGAAAGTGGAACGAGAAGAGAAACTAAAAAAAGCACAGAATTAACCACGTGTGGATTTTCGAATTTCACAAACACTGGTGGAAACTGATCGACAAAAGCAGAAGTCACAATTATTGTACCTTAGTCAGTTTCCCTTCAAGAAGTGGGGAAACTTTCACTAAAAAGAGTTTTTAGTTAGAGCTGAATGTTTATTGAAGCCCAAACGCCAAATTCAAATTTCACATACAAAATTTAAAAAATAAAAAAATTGCACATTATGTGAAGAACATCAGTTGTTGCGGGTTTTTTTTTTACACTCTACTCTCGTTTTTTATTCAAATTCAATTGTTCTGTTTTACGCCAAATAATTACACGCAGGAATTAAATTTGACCAATTCGGAAAATCAAATTAAATAAATTTTGCACAAAATATTTCATTAGAAATTGGAAAATATTGAAAAGTGTTTGTTTTTTTTTTCGTTGTCTACAGTAAAACAAAAAATAAAAATTAGTTTCTAGTTTCAAAACAGTTCTTCAAACCGATATGGCTAATTTTGAAAATTCGACTATATTTCTTTTTAAATATCTACTTTATAATTTATTGAAATTTAAAAAAAAAAAAAAATGTCTTAAATGCTAGTGACAGGATTGAATCATTTTTTCGCAATACGGCAAATCTAGTGTTCAATACATAGAATTGAAAATTGAATACATGCATTTCACATTTTCATTCACAAGTCGTGTTTATGCAACGAGCACTCTCTATATAAATAAATATTAAAATGTAAAAAAAAAAATGGCATTGGGATCAGTGATAATAATGTTTTATTTTTTTTATTTTAGAGAATCGTTAACACGATGTAAGTTTTATTTTTATTCAATTTTTTTTACAGTATATTTTTGTCTTTGTTTCTGAAAATGAGCGATAAAAAAAAATAAATGACATTAATTAATGCGTAAAAAGTGATTAAAATATACAGAAAGACACTTGCGTTTTATCTAAAAATGAGCATTTCATACAATTTTTTGTCTAGAAGTTCCGATTTTATCGAAGAATGTTCGGCAACAAAGTAGTTAAGTAAAATATTTTTTCTAGATAATTTTTTTAGGTGTGTTTTCCGTTATGAGTGCGACTTTAGATACCATAATGTGCACTATCCTTCAGGAAAAATAATGTTGTCAAAGTTTTAAACAACGTTGGCTAACGAAGACAAAGAGAGAGACAAAAATCGTCTTTGCCTGGATGTCTGGGATTTGATTTTGAAGGTGAAATGATCCTTTTTTTTTCTCAGTGTCTGCAATTTTCGTAAAAAAAGGCACATTTCGCTGTTATTGACAGAAGAAAGAAAAAAGATTTCTCTGTGATATTTCTTCTTTCTCATCCAAGGAAAAGAAAAAAAATTTAAAAAAAAAAAAGATCGATATTAATAATTGAACAATAAATAATATTTTTCTTTCTTCTTCCGTATTTCTTATGTTATTTTTTAAGAAAAACGTCTCTCTTCTTTTCTATCAAATTGAGGTACAAATGAAAGTATCATTTACGTTGCAGCAATCAAGGATTTTTCTAATGCTCCTGAAAAAGTCGATAATTAACAAGAAAAATCTTCAACAACACAATGAGCTACAAGCGATAAAATTTACTAAAAGTGAAAGTCTTAAAAATTTACATTTTCTAGTTTAAAAAAATTAAATTCATATCATAAACCAGTTCAAAGAGATTAGAAAAAACTAAAAGTGATTACTAAAGATTTCTGGTAAAAATGTATGACAAAAATTCAAGTGAAATAGATGAAGCATGTTCCACTCAGCTTTCATTTACTAATTATCAATAATCATCGGGAAATAGTAGTACTACTAGTTAGTAGTAGGTAAATAAAATAATTTTTAGACAGTTCACACTCACATCAGGCTTTTGTTTGTCCCACCGGGAAAGAAGGAAACTACAGAAGATAAAGTTTCATCTCTCAAAATAAACAACAACAACCAAAAAAAAAAAGTTTAAATTTGAAAACATTTTAGTTCGACTCTTACAGTTTAATTAATTTATTTTAGTGATCAACAAATACAAGTGCCCAAGTGGTTTAGGTCACGTGATACCCCTTAACACGCATTATTTCCAAATTGATAAAGTTTTTTTTCTTCAAAATGCTTTTTTTAACTAAAAAACAAATTAAATCTCTTAACTTTTCATGTTTTTACTTGCTTTTTTCTGCTAAGGAAGGCGATAGGAACCAATGTCAAATATTTATTTATTTGAAAGCAGCACTAGTAAAAATAAATAAATTATCCTAGTACAAAGCTTGCTAAATAATAAATTAAATATCATATTTCCATAAATAATGAGCCGGATCCATATGCCATAAGAGTCCATCATTAATGATTAATGTATTTTTGCAAGAATTAGCAACAAAAACAGAAATGTGAACCAACTCTACTACCTTTTTTGTTTGGCATGTTGTTCGAAAGTATTAAAAACAAAAATTTAATAACAAAAAGTATGTGTTCTATTAAATTTAAATAAGATAAGAATTAATAAATTGATCAATAATTTATTCTAGAAGATCAAATAAAATAAAAGTTTCAAAAAGACTGTGAGGTTAAAAATAACGGTACTAAAAAACAATAAAGAAAGATCAATGAGCTACAAACTAGAGTACTACAAGAATTCAATTGGTAAACTGAAGAAACAGAATAATAAATCATGTATATTTGCTAAGTTTTTTACAGTTGCCCGCTCATAAGACTAATTTAAAGTATGGCTACTACTCGTTAAATGATTAATTTCTTTTCTATAAAACGAAAAGCTATATGACAATTAATTATGCGAATGTTGAGGCTCGAAGTAAGGCTCGAACCTCGCTATGGTTACAGGTTGAAAATGCTGTGGAAAAGCAAAGACGTGAAATCTAAAAAAAAAGTAGTAGTAAGAGGAAGCAAAAATGAGGTGGAAGGAGATAAGAGAAAAAGGAGGAGGAGGAAAAAACAAGGACAGAGTAGGAGGAATAAGTAAATAGAAGCGAACGAGGAGGAGGGGTAGGAGGAAGACGAAAAGATAGAGTTGGAGGGGATGAGAAAGAAGGAGGAATGTTCAGAAAATGTGAATCAGACGCCATCTTGCTTTTTCACGTCTTTTCCCTGTGCGCACGGCCCAAACATTAAACGTGAAAGTCGGCGGCGGCACACACACAACAGAGAACACACATGTGTTGTGTGTCAGATATTTCAACCGGGACGTTCGAATGTAAACATCATGAACCCCCCCGCTCATCCATGGGAACATGACTTGAACATATAAAAAGAAGCGAGAAATTCGCAATCAGGAGGACATTTATTACATTGATGGCGACGATTTCTCTCTAAGTCTTTTTTTTCTTACTACCAGTCAAAACCCTCCGACGTGAGCATTTTTTTGCTTTGCTCTTTTAGTCTTTATCTATCCTTTCTTTTTAGCAAAAGCACAAGATATTTTTACATCAATTACACTAATATAAAAAAAATATCAATAATTACTTTCTTGTGTGTGCGAAGGAAGGTATCGTTTGATTTTTCTACTCTTCTTAGCTTTGACATCAGCAAGCTCGGAAGAAATGTACGGACCATAACAAAATCGTGATCATTTGTGATGAAATCCTATAAATATTTATGACAACAACAAACTATGTTATGCAAAAAAAATATCCTTACACAGGTCAATTTCAAAAACAAAAAAAGTCACACTTTTTGTAAGTGAACAAGAAGTTTCTCATTTTTTTCCCCTATTTTTTTAGTTTTTAATTTTCTTATTTTTTTTAAATCAATTTTTATTCAGCTCCCCTTTCTTCCCCCAGAAGGCAAACTTGTTTTCTTTCAACCTTTTAATACCAAGAAGAATAATGTGTCCCGTATTTACAGGGAAATATTGTATACTGTGCTTTCTTTGCTTGCTTCTCCCTTCTCCAGCAAAGTCTGAAAAGGGTCAACCCGGGCCCTCTACATCTTCAAATGCTGGACATTGGGACCATTGGAATCATACAAACATCTCGGATTTCCATTTAGATACTAGTGGACATTCCAAGAAGACCAATTCTGACCAACAAATCTATATACCCAGTGGTAATGCCAGTGTCTATTATGTTCGCATGTTGTTTGATAAGTATGGCCAAGGGGACATGTTTACTTTAGATAGCTTCAAATTATTGCTTTATAGTTTAGGCCTCCGTCCTTTAAACAATGACACCGACTTTTTGCTGACCAGTGATCTGCCTGTGACAACTCAGAAACGCGTTGAACTCAGTCCGAATTTAGAAAACTCAACCCTACAAAGTCCTCATCCTACGATGTTCAAAGACTTTCGTGGTGAAAAAAGCAACCTGGATCCTGAAAAGAGTAAGAAATTAAATCGCTCACGTCGGGAATTTTCGCCTCTCAAGGTATATTATCTTAATTGTATTTGATAGTTTTCTGTAAAAAAAAAAAAAAAAAAAAAACTTTCTTTTTAAGCCCTAAGAATATAATTTGAACTTCGCGGCATGTTAACTTGACGTTACTTAAAGTAATACAAAAAATTAAATTATTGCCAAAGATTATTTTTTTCACTTTTTATAGGGATAACTTTTCACGCAGCCTTAATATCCTAAAAAATGAATTTCTTACTTTTGTAAATAAACCTTCAACTTCATAAAAACTTGTATTTTTTTCTCACATTTTCTTTAGCCATTAAATTTGTAAAGCACACATTGCTACTTAAAAAAATGATTTAATTTTTTTAATCACTTTAGTTTTAAAGTCTTTTAGTTCATTTGCTAACCATTAGTGAATTTTTTAAATAACCGATACAAAAAAAATCCGGTATGTGAATAAATTCAAAAATATTTGTCATCAATTTTTTTTTTTTTTTTCTAATAATTTCATTTTAGAGATGTTAAAATTGGTTATTGACACATCCGGAAATAAAAATTTTTAAAAAATCGTAAAAATAAACTGAAAAAAATTATCCATATTTCTACTTTTTTCTTATGAACTTTGAAGACAAAATATGTGAGGTTTTTGTTTTTGATTTACCGTCTTCCCTTTTCTGTTAGTTAAAACACCATGAATGAATGAATGAAGCAGCAGTGGTTGTTGTGATCTAGACACAATACCCCACACCACACACGCACACACTTCCCCTTCTTCGGAGTTTTCGAGGTTCATTTGTTGACTAAAGAAGGAAAACCGCGCTAAAAGAAAAGGATTTATCTAAATAGTTGGGGTATGAATACCTAGCTAGACAAGCACGTGTCTCTTTTTCTATTTCACTTTTTTTTTCTTCCTCTTCCTAAGCTAAAAAGCTTAGGCTTCTGGTTCTACTCGCTATTTTCTGTTTCATTCAAATTATTTATTGCATTTACATTTTCAAAGTTGTACATGGAGGCTCCTCATCAATTTTCTTTGATTCATAAATAAAGTTTATTTGATTGAAAAGAAAATAAGGTATAATTTTCTTTTGCAAGTTGACTGAATGAAAAACTTCTTGCTAAAAATTTTCCGCTCTTTTAACACTAACGCTTCTTGTGTGTTTAAATAAAAGTACTCTTTATTTTTAAATCATGTCTTGTACAATGTTTGAAATTTAGTTACGAGATTACTATAAAACAAACGAATTATCCTATCTTCAGTTATATTTTTTTAAGTTAAACATTTTTCCATAATACCAACTCATTCACAATTATTTGGTGCTCTTTACAATTCAAGAGATTCTTTTGAACTTTGCATGAACTCTACATTAGTTTTTGTTGTTTTTTTTAAGCTTTTTAAAAGTGCTTAAATCTTACTTTTAGTTAAACTTTTACTTATATTGTTAATTTTTGTTCAATTTAAAGCCTTCAAGTTCAGACTCTGAGTATTACTGGAACTGCAGTAAAATTACATTTACAATGTTTTTGCAATTTAATATCTTTTACAATTTTTGAAATTATGTATTGTAGGACAGTAATTAATTCCTCTATTCAATTTTGATTCTCGAAAAAGAAATTAATAAAGTGTTTTTTTTTTTTAAAGTATCACTTTTTCTTAAAATTCTAGATGTTTGATTTATAAACATCTTTTAAATACAATTACTTTCAGCTACAGTACTCTCCAATGAATTTTAAAATTTTACCAAGAATACTTCTTTGTCAATCTCAATCCTGATGGTAAAAAAAAATAGTACAATTTTTTCATTAACTTTTTTTATTTTATAAGTATAACTGTCAAGTTAAGATTATTTATGATGATAGAAGTATGTATCTGAGCTTGAATTAAATTCCTCGCTTCTAAAAAAAAGTTCAGAACTTACATTAAGTATTTCTAAAAAGTTGATTGCCATGATAATGAGTGCTTGGACATATTGAAGACAAGATGGACAAGGAAACTTTGGAAAGGAAGTTGTGAAACGCCATGAACACCCACGTCCTGAAGGGATACAGCACATATTTCTGAAGTGATTTTATTTTAAGATGTTGAAATTTAGTTGGTTACAAATATACATGTGTAGTAAAAGTGATCTAGCATTGGCTAAATTTTGCTGCTAAAAGACAGTTAAGCACGATCGGAATGTTTGTGAAATACAAAATAATTATCAATGGTTCTTTCTCAAACATCAGTGATATATCAATATTGTATGTCAATAACAGATACTTTCTGGAAGAATTTTCAACATACTCTGTCTTAATTAGCAGCATTCACTCAAGTACCTCGTCCTTACATACAAATAGCTGAAAGATTTAGTTTTTATTTGTACATTTTTAAAAAGAAGCTGAATTAAAAGTTCTTCAATATTCTACCACAAGTCCGTGATACTTACTGGGGTGAATCTTGATATTTTTTTGTTTTTTAAATCACTTAACTTTTCTAATTCCTGGAAATAAAATGACTTTGTCAAAAATGAATGTATATAATTTGAACCCACCATCTCATTCTTTAACTTTTGCTCAGAGAATAATTCTGATATTAGCAAAAAATAATTTCATACTTCCTTGCTTGACATTACAGTTCCTAGAATGAAATTATTTCCGTTTTTAAATGAGCTGCAATAACTTTCAATTAAATCGACGAAGGTTGAACATTGAAAAGGCCCTTCTCTACATTCAGTTCATTGATCTTTGCTAAATCTATGATGCTTAAAAAAAATGTACATCACTATTCTTGGTTGAGGTTTATGATGTACTACTTTCATAAGTTCTGGATCTGAATGTAAGATTTCTATAAATTTGAAACAAAAAGGCTTAAATGAGAATATTGAACAAGAGAGCTACCGAGCCAGATTTGCTACTTATAAATTTTATCTTAATATATCTGGGGTTTTTTGGGGTTTTTTTTCTTAATAATTTTTATTTTAATATTTAGTTTTCAGGCGTTGAGCTCCAGCAAAATTTTACATTTTTACATAAAAAACAATGAATTTATTTTCAAAATGCTAAAATCAAGACAAACTGGCGACCTCAACTGTGGAATCACCTGTCCTACAGAAATACAAAATTTAGAAATTGTTTCTATCAACATATGTTTCATAGCTTTAAACATTTGCAATTTAAAATTCTTGCTTTCAAACAATTGTAATTTTAAAAAAGAATTATCACTGATAAAAAAACCCAAAAAAACAAAAAAAAACTTAAGTTCCACGGGAAGTAGTTGTGTGTGTGTACTTCTTAATTCCTTTTTAAATTCAATTAGCTGATTTATTAAAAGTGTTTGAGATATATGCAATTTTTTTATACTTGTCTAAATCAAAAAGTAACCATGAGTTAACTTTTATTATATCAATCTCCTAAATATGTTAAATGAAGTTTCATTGATTTTATATTAAATTCCACTGACAGCTGAGAAAACGTTTTTTGCATTGTAATAGCTTCAGTATAGGTAGATTTCTCTTACCAATTCATCACTGTCCAACTTTGTATATTGGGTTCAAGTTTCACTATGCTTTGGCTATAAGATATAGCTACACACTTTGAAGTGTGTAGCACTGTAGCTACATCATCTTGATTTATTATATTCTCACTGGTTAATATTGCTCTTTTGATTTTAGAAAAATTTTGGCAAGATCATAGAGCTGCAGGAATTCTAACCTGAATACATCCTCCTTATTTGAAATAAGATTATTTTGGAATTGTTTATCAATAACAACAGGAAATAATATTTTATAATCTCTTAAATATTGTTAAGATGTGTGGGCAGCATAAGTTATTATGGAATTTGTGAGCAGAATTCAAATTTTGACTTAGTCTACATTTTTCTCTCAGGAATCCATCTTTCCTTGTGCCTAGCTACGGATTAAATAACAGTAAACTTAGATGGCATACAGTGAAAAGAAAGAAAAATTCTGAATTCAAAACTTGGTAAGGCAATGAAAAACCATTACACTATCACAAGAAATCCTGGCAATATACAAGAAATAATATTAAGAGTCACAATTACTTATCTCCTAAAGGGACATGCTTAAAAAAAAAATATGTATTATGTCCAGTTACACTTATTGAAGAAGGAATTTTAATTATGAAGCTTGAAGTTTATTATAGTTTAAAAGTTTGATTTCTGTCTTTTAATATTTATTTTATTTTTTAAGGCCTTTGGTGAGATTTTCAATTAAGTTTTTTTTATGCATTTCTTTTAAACTGCTTTATCTAAAGTGGATCCTATCTTGATATACCACGCATCTCATCAACTTGTAAAAAAAAAAAAAAAAAAAAAAGTGCTTTTCTGTAGCAAGACAAACAAGCTTTATTTTTGTATAGTTCAACAAACTACAAAAATTTTCTTTCTTTGCCTATGTAAGATAGTAACTAATAAAAAAAACAGTTTGTAAATGTTTAGCCTTTTTCCAATAATTTAAAGAATTTTAATTTCCCTTTTTAAGTATGTTTTTGGTGTCAAATTTTGGTTATCAATAATTCTTTGAAAGTTCCATATTCAAACATTATCTGAAGCATCACTCTTTATCTAGTT